TTGGGAGACATGCGCACACTCACCCACACTTATTACAAATTTGCCCTCGCTCGGAGGGACCAAAAGAATAATACAATTCGAATAATGAATTAACTATCCTAGCTAATTAATTATTACAGACCCACTAAATTAATTAAACAAATTAATTAATTTAAGAAAGCAAGAAAAAAAGGGCCTCGGGAAGAGGGCTCAATGCACACATGCTCGGGTCTTGCTCGGAAGTCCACTGCCATGCATAGGCTGCCTCTGTTTTCCCTGCTCTGCTTCTCTGAAGACTACCAAAGTCTCAGAATTGCTTCCCTGGACATTGGGAGACACCACTGGCTGAGAAGAATCATCATTGGCTGTGATTTGGTGTCGATCGGCCAAAAATGAATCCATTGGCCACAGATTGGTTGCCGGTCGGCACGCTGTGCAGTCGATCAGCAAAAAGTTCCTGTAGAATTTGTTTGACAGCAGCAGAGGACAGAGCTATGCATGGCAATGCAATTCAAGCAATGTATGCACCAACCATATCCCTTATCATGTTTATGACTCAAAGAGACATGGTCCTTGGTTCTCGGACTATTAATCGCGCATTTCAATGCATGATGGCCCAAGAGACCAAGTTATGCATGTTGATTTCAAATGCAATGCAAACCAACAAACAAAGGCCCAACTCCCATCACTAAATCAAGGAACAAGGCATGCATGCTACATGGAGTGCAACCTAGGCATGTGAACTAGCATGCAACATGGGCATACAAGGCATTTATACAAGTATGCAAGCAAATATGCAAGATAAGCATGAAAACAAGCAAAGGATGGACTTAAGCACGGTTTAGGAAGCCCTTACTAGGCCTAAAACAGTGGCCAAGGTGCTCAAAAATGAAGGACTAATAGGCCCACCAACATTCATGCAGATGATCTCCAACACTTTAAGCATTAAAGAGCAATTCTCAAGCACACCCAAGAGGATGCAAACATGGACATATAGCATGCATTAAGCTCTAAAATCATGTTATAAGATGATGCCAAATCAATTTAAACAAGAAGAGCAAAACATGCCACAATGGCCTAAGTGCTTAAGACAAGCCAAGGAGGCTTAAACCAAGGTCAAGTCCACCAAACCTCACAAGGCTAAGGGGACTTAAAACAAGTCAAATGCAGGCTTAAACAAAGCCAAGGGTGTACTTAGATGGCATCTAAGTGGTCTAAAAGTGCAAGCATACTCCGAGGCCTAAACAAGGGGCATAAGGTAACAACCTTTAAACACATTGAAGGGGGATTAAATGCAAGCACATAGGCATGCCACAAGGACTGAAATAACATGACAAGTGGTTCCAAACCACTGAAATGATGTAAGGATGGCATGCGAGAGGGGTCAATGCTCAAGGTATACAAGAGAGTTTGCATGGTAGCTATACAAAGCAAAGCATGGATGACTCAAATGACCAAAAACAGTCCCTTAGCATACTAAAACAAGCATAAAAGCTTCACAAAGCTAGGCCAAAACACATGAGCATGATAGTCTAAATGCTAGGCACATGTTGAGGCAAATCATGGCATTACAAGGCATGTATGCTAAGCAAGCATGGTGTACCAAAACCAACTTAAAACAATGCTATTTCATGGCAAAATAAGCATAAATAACAGCTAAGGCATGGTCAACAAGAGCCTAAGCTAGGTGCTCCCTTAAGAGGCAAAAATGGTCCTTTTCAGGGACAACAAGGAGAGGGGGTGGCTCTCTCCTTCTTGGGACCTCAAGACATCATCCTTACCACTGAAATCCCTCAAGATTTCAGTGGTGAGGAGGCCCAAACACCAAAGTCCCGGAGCTCACACAAAATAGCACAAAACAAGGGCCAAACAAGGCTTAAGAGGGGTCAAACAACCCCAAAGCTTAAAACACTCTTAACAAACTATTTAGAGGCCTTAAAAACAGAACTTTTATGTATTATATGCAAAGCCAAAAAAAAGTTGCAAGATAGGTAAAAGTGGTGTGCAAAAATGGGGTAAAAAGGGCTAGTTTCTTACCCTTGAAGTCCTCCTTCACAAATGATGATCTTGTAGCCTCCTTGAGCTTAAATCCAGTCAAGAACACCAAGAACAACCCTCTGGTCCCTCAACAACCAAGAGAAGGTGTAACACTATGTGTTTGTGTGCAATAATATGGACAAACACACACTAGACACACACAAGAGGGAGATATAGAGATAGGAAATATGTATCAACCCTAACCCTAATCTAGAACTCCCTCTGAAATTTTTGTAACCCTAATGCCAAGAGAGGAGCCCTCTTCTTATAGGCAACTCCCTCTTGTAAGGCTTCCAAAACAAGCCATCAAAGGGGAAAATCCCTCCATACACGTGTATGGAGGGGAGCAGAGTGGGTGCCAGCTATCACAGCTGGCACAAAATATCTACCAAAAGTAGATGAACATTGATCGGCCATTCAAAATTGCCATTTTGGCAAAATAAAGGGCCGACCGGCAACAAAGAGTGCCGACCGGCAATATACATTGCCAATAGCATAAAATCACTGGCCGGTGGCCTCAAGCCATGGCCGGTGATGTGTGGGGATGCCTCACAAGGCATTCCCTGCCCCTCCAAGGCAAAACACAAGTGTTTGGTGCAAAAACCAGACACAACATGGTCGAGTCGAGAGATCCTGAGGTAAGGTGCGCAACTGAGACCTCCGGGAACTCAAGACGAACACAAACAAGGGTAATCACCAAGTGTTCCAATGGTGACGTCCAAGTCTTGAGGACGGTCAAAAATGGGGTGTCTACACACACTTGGAGTTCAAGACCTAATGTAGGGAATCCGTTCTTTTAATTATGAATTTGAGTTATTTCTTGCATGGTTCATGGGAATATTGGAGATTAGAGCCAAGATATGGCTTAAAGAGTTAAATTGAGAATTAATTCATGCATGCATGTACATATTCTTGAATTTTAAGGTTGTTTTCATGGGAATTTCTTCATGCATGTTCACATCTTGGTAGGGGTCCATGAATTGATCATGTTCTTGAGCTCAAACTTGCATTTGATCTTGTTTTGGAACATTAAAGTTCATGGGAACTCATGCATGTATGATTTTGCATTGTTTTTTATGTCTACATTTAATTTGGTGTGCAATTGGCTTACTTTTGGGCCTTGATTTTATCAAATGATCTTCAAAACATGTTGTATTATGAGTTTCCAAGTGTTTTCCAGCAAATTGGCCCAAAAGGTTGAGTTTTGATGTGTTGAATTCTTGGTTTGAGCTTTGAAGGCAAATCTGGAAAATCCAGAATTTGGCTTTCTCGCTCGAGCGAAGGATTCCACGCTCGAGCAAGCACCTTTGTTTTCTGAATTTCGTTCGAGCGACGGAATGTTGGCTCGAGCGTAGATTGCAAGCTCTCAAGTTTTTGTGCACGCAGACGCACGCTCGAGCGACGAGACCCACGCTCGAGCGAAGAGCTGAGTCTCACGCTCGAGCGAGCATCGAGCAGGGATTTTCAACATCCAGTACTTTTGTATTTTTACAAATCGCTCGAGCGAAGGAGTTTATGCTCGAGCGACCCCTTTGTTTTGGCAAGCTCGCTCGAGCAAAGAAAGCCACGCTCGAGCGAGACCCCTATTTTCATCAAATTTTGAAAAGTGTTTTAAAGTACATCTTTGCATCCTCATTCTATCCTAGGCATTCCTAGACCATGTTTAAGGCATCTTAATGAGGATAATGTCATAGAACCATACCAAGTCAAGTTAAGGAGCTAAGCCATTAATCCCAAGAGTGTAACTTAGTGTGTGTGTTCGTTCTGCAACTGTGTAGGGTTGGCACCCGAGGACGCTGACTAGCCTGTCTGTAGCCCAGTACTCTGTGAGTAACAATGTTGTAAAGATACGTTCAATTATAACTATTTCTGAACGATTGATTATACTGCTTTCTGAAATGACATTGTTTACCGAATGAATGTTTGTCCTATTTGTAAACTGTATTCCTAGCATCCTTAGCAACTTACTGTTACTGTATTGTTACTGCTACTATTACAGAGATCTCTGTCAGTTCCAATGTGGGGACCACTACTGTTTACTGTTTGATGGCCATCAACTGACTGTTCAGTCTGTCAAGACCTACTGTACTGTTTTGCTATTGGATGTACCATATATGACTATTATGGTTTCTAAATAACTTTTATGGCATGAAATATGAGCCACTGATTGAATAACTGATTTACTGATACAATTGACTGTTTTAATTACTGAAAAGGCATTCATTCTTAACCCCTTTACGCATATGTTATTCACTGGGCTTTAGCTCACTGTTTATATTTATATGTAGGTGCCCAGGCACCGGACCGAAGCTAGGAGCATCAAGTTAAACTCCCGTTTTGTCAAGCCAACCTTTGTGCCTCACTTCGAGGTTCCAAGTCTATTCAAGCTAAGGCTGCTCTGGGGTGTCTCAGTTCCACCCTTCTGTCTCTGTTTTGTAATAAGTGTTTTAGACTTGACTGTACAGTTACGGTGAAAGGATTAGGTCCCTAACCTGGATGTTTGTGTATATGATGGTTGTATATATGTTTCGGTTATAAATGTGGCTTGTTCATAAAAGTCTTTTTGCATTCAGTTTGTCACAGCTCATTGGACATCTTTTTATTATTGTATGGCTTCCACCAGCCCCTTACTCTGTATTACTGTCCTTACTGTTCTCAGCAGGCCTTTGGTAATCACGGATTATTGGCCGGTTACGATGCTAAACCCATAGGGGCGGGTTTGGGTCGTGACAATAAACCTCACATGTCGTGCCATAAAAATAGTGACGCCATATTTTTAGAGCAAAAACTACTGCAGCTAGCTCTAAGTCGTGTGTAGGATAATTCTTTTCCTGTGGCTTGAGTTGGCGAGAAGCATATGCGATGACCCTTCCATGTTACATGAGTACACAACCCAATCCTTTGTAAGAAGCGTTGTTGTAAATCAAAAACCCCTCGGTATCAGATGGTAAGGCAAGAATTGGTGTTGTAGTTAACCTTGTTTTTTACTCCTTAAAGGCAATTTCCCTTTGTTCTGTCCACTCAAACGTAGCCCCTTTTTGGGTCAATTGGGTTAGTGTTGTTGCAATCTTGGAGAAGTCTTGTACAAATCTCCGGTAGTACCTTGCTAAGCCCAAGAAACTTCGCACCTCTCTTACATTCGTAGGAGATGGCCAATTCACAATGGCTTCTATCCTGTGTGGGTCAACAGAAACACCTTCTTTATTAATTATGTGCCCCAAAAACACCACTTCATGTAGCCAAAACTCGCACTTCTTCAATTTCGCATACAGCCTCTTATCTCGAAGTGTCTACAGAATTATCCATAAATGATTCTCATGTGCTTCTGTGTTTATCGAATAAATGAGAATGTCATCAATAAACACAACTACGAAGTCATCTAGGTACGGCTTAAAAACGTAGTTCATTAAATCCATGAAGGCCACCGGTGCATTAGTAACCCCAAACGACATAACCAAAAATTCATAATGCATATCGGGTGTGGAAAACAGTCTTATCAATGTCTTCGGCTTTCACTTTGAACTGATGGTATCTAGATCGCAAATCTATTTTCAAAAAGACTTGTGCACCTTGAAGTTGATCGAATAGATCATCAATCCTAGGCAAGGGATACTTGTTCTTCACAGTTACCTTATTGAGCTCCTGGTAGTCAACACATAACCAGAGTGTCCTATCTTTCTTCTTAACAAAAAGAACCGATGCGTCCCAAGGAGAAGTGCTTGGATGAATGAATCCTTTATCAAGCAGTTCTTGTAGTTGTATCTTCAACTCTTTCATTTCAGTTGGTGACATTCTATAAGGGGCTTTTGAAATTGGTTGGGTTCTCGATAGTATATCAATTACAAATTCAATCTCACGGGCCACTAACTCTCTTGGCAACTCCTCTGGAAAAATGTCCGAAAATTCACGCACCACCGGAATGTTATCAACACACACCTCTGCTGGTTGTCCATTCCAAATGCTAATAAATACCCTCGGCAACCCTTTTGTAATAGCTTACATGCTTTCATGGCGGAGATTAAGTACAGTGGTGGAATCTCCCCATGTCCCATAATCATAAATTCGGATTACCTTAGGGGTCGAATGGTGACTTGTTTAGACATACACTCAATAGTCACATGATATTTACTTAGCAAATCCATTCCCAAAATTATATCAAAATAAGCCATGTCAAGTGGCAACAAATCAGCAGATAACTAAACATCCCCAATAACGATCTCACTAGCAGGATAAATGAATGTACTCAACATGGAGGCCCCCGATGGTGAAGAAACACATAGCACATAATGTAACGATTCCTTAGGTCTATTCAATTTCCTAGCAAAGGTTTTCGATACAAAAGAATGGGTAGAACCCAAATTAAATAATACATGAGCAAAGTGACCATTGATAGGAAATGAACTTGACACCACAGCCTTAGTATTCTGCATATCACCGGGAATAAGAGCAAATACTCTCCCCTGCCTAACATTGTCTCTGGTATTGGTGGATATTACAGCAGTCTTTGTAGTTGGAGCTGGAGTTGAGCTAGCTAAACTTGTAGTAGTTCTATTCCCATTTTGCCGGTCCATCTGAGGGCAATCTCTTGCTAAATGTCCCGTCTTTCCACACTTGAAGCAAGCCCTAATTACCTGATAACAAGTCCCGCGATGCCTCTTCCCACAACTTGGACAAGTTGGTGCTGATTCACGGGGTAGAGGCGGAAGTACTAGAAGTTCCCAAGTTCGGCTTCTTGTTCTGTGACACTATTGATTCCCTTGGTGCTTGTGCATTCTGTCTTTTCCCTCTCCACTCAGAAACCCAATTTTGAGTAGCTATATTACCTTCAGCCACTATCACCCTTTCCAACACATTGACATATGTAGGCAATTTCAACACATTAATCTTATCCAGAATTGAGTTCTGGAGTCCTCCTTCAAACTTTCTTGCTTTCTTGTAGTCCATATCCACCATGTGTGGTGCGTAACGGGCTAACTCTGAAAATTATGCTTCATACTCTGCTACTGTCTTGTTTCCTTGCTTCAACGTCTCAAATTCTGTCACCTTCTTATCCTGCATGCACTGTGGGAAATACTTATCATAAAAGAGCTCCAAAAATTGAGCCCAAGTCAAACCTTGATGTTCATTTTGAGTGAGCATCCACCATCTCCGTGCTTCGTCTTCAAGGGTAAAAGCTGCAAACTGTATCTTTTGTGCTTCTGTGCACGGAAAGACTTCAAATAACTTCTCTATACCTAATACCCACGCCTCAGGTTTCATTGGCTCAATGCCTCCTTGAACGATGACGGTTTCATCTTCTTAAATTCTTTTGTCAATGCAAATTGGTCCTCAGCTTGATGGTCTTGCACTACTGGTGGTGGTACAAGCACTGGTGGCGGTGGTGGTTGTTACTGTTACTGCTCTTGTTGCTGTATCATAGTTTCTGCCATGTCCGCAATCATCATTTCCAACCAATCCAGTCGTGCAGAGGTAGAGTATTTCATATCATCCATTCTTGTCCTCTCCATGAGCTACATATCAAAGGATTATAATACACACAAGAAGTGTAACAATCCGACCCATAGTTAACGTTTATCCATGTTTAATTGTATCTAAAAAGAAATTAAAGTGAAATTTTGCATCATATATTGCATTATATGTGTTTATATTTGTTTAACGTAGAAAGATCTGTTCATGTTTCTGTTTTGGATTGCGAATTGAAGGCCTTATTGGCATCCGATTCAGAAATTGACTTGATTTATGTGTTAATTAGAATTTTTAGAATTTCAAGGTAGATTTAATTGAAATTTGGTTTGGAACGATTAAATTAAAATAATTTAATGTCTACTTTATTAACTTGATCAATAAATAATTACACTTATGCCCAAGCCTATATAAGGCCACCCTTACCTCTTCCTACACATTTTTGACACCCTCATTCCCTCATCTTTGAGCTCAACATGGGAGAGAGTGAGAGACTAAAGAACTTGGGGCCAAACTTGAAGTAGAGAAGGCCATTGCTAGGAGATTTGGAGAATTACTCAAGATTTTGATTAAGTGAAGCTCAATTAAGTAGCCTAGGTAAGAGCTCAACCTTACAAGCTTGGGTTGAGTCATTTAGTACATGAATACAAATGAAATAGATGAATTCATATGGGAATTGAGCTAGAATTGAAGAAAGCTAAGTCATTCCATACATGCATACATGTTTCATAGCATTTTAAAGTTGTTGTCAAAGCTTTTCTCACATGCATGTTGTAATTCTAGCATGGTTTGAAGAATTCATAACACTTCTCACCATTAGACCTCATTTGATCATGTTTTGGAAACTAAGAACTCAAGTCAATATATGCATGACAAGTTCATATCATGTCCTTGAAGTTTCAAGTTGAATTTTGGCCAATTTACTTACTTTTGGACCTTGATTTTGCTAAATAATCCTTAATTCTTCATGTTTTGTAAGTTTGTAAGTGTTTTCTCAAGTTTTGAGGTCAAGAGCTATGTTTTGATTAGGCTGAATTCGAGTTTGAACCAAGGAGAGCAATCTGGAAATCCCATATTTTGCCTCTCCGCTCGAGCGACGGATTCTATGCTCGAGTGGCGACTCTGTGATCTTGCATTTCCACTCGAGCGACTAGAAGCCCGCTCGAGCGTGAAATGCATACTTCCAGAATTTTATATGTTTTGCAGATCGCTCGAGCGACAAAAGTCACGCTCGAGCGAAGGTCTGAGTCTCACGCTCGAGCGAGGATCAAGCGTCCATCGAGCGTGAAAATCAAGCAACCAGTACTTTTGTCAAAGTTTGCAGACCGCTAGAGTGAAGGAAGTTACGCTCGAGCGTGGACCCTGTTTTCAGCAAGTTTTGAAAAATGTCTTCAAGTACATTTTTTTGCATCCTCATGCCATTCTAGGCATTCCTAGGCCAAGATTAAAACACTATAATGAGGATAAAGGCTAGAAACACACTAAGGACAAATGAAATAAGTTATCTACAATTCGAGCGTGTGTTTCAATGTATGTGTCTGTCATGTTATGTAGGTCATGCGCCTCAAGTTAAGTGAATTGCCTACTCTACTCGTCTATTTGGAGCCACTGGTTATTAATGAGTAATAACTCTGTAAAGTTATGTTTGACTTTAATTATTTTTGATGATATGAAATGATCAGTTTTTTGAAATGCTATATTTTGTATGAATGAATGATTGTCCAATTTTCTTTGAAATGTAATTGTGGTATCCTTAGTAGAGGCCCTCGCCCAGGGGACATAAATACTATGGCTTATGGTCATGAGGACCTAGCCCGAGAGATAATACCGTGGCCTAGGCCCTCGCTCGTGGGAAACAATACTGTGGCACAGGCCTTTGCTCGGGAGAAACAATATTGTGGCTGATGTATGAGATATGTTACCCGGTACCGAAGGTTCCTTTTGGAACTTGATATGGTTGACCAAAAAGACATGATTATGCTAATAGACGTATGAGAGGGAGATTTATGATCTAGTTTCTGCCAAACAAGATTAGGCCGAGGTATTTGTCTTCAAGATTGTGCCGTGATTTTGCTCAGTAATGGCAAAGGGCCTGCGGAGCCGAGCTACTTGGGCTCTTTGGTATGAAGGCCGGTCAACTGAGAGCTCGGCTGAGATGTCCGCGGCCTAGAAGGGCTTCACGGTTCGTGCGTTGCTCGGTCGGAAGGCACGCACCCGTAGCTCGGCATGAAGATTCGTGCCTAAAGCTCGGCAGGAAGGCTTTTGGTTGACCGGAATGACCAATCCCGT